ATTTGTTATTTAATACACAAATTGTTTTAAATCATATTTTTTAAAATTATTTTTTAAAAATGATTTTTAAACTTTTTTTTTCATTTCCTTAGACATACATTTTTTTTTAAATTCCACGTTTATTTATTTTTTTATTCAAGTTCTTATTCAATACAAATATTTTTTATAATTGTTTTTTTTTTTAATTTTATTTATTAATATTTTTTTAAGAAATATTCAATACAAAAATGTTTTTAAATCATATTTTTTTAAAATGTTATTCCTAAATATTTTTTTTTAATTCCCTTAGAAATAATTTTTTTTAAATTTAATACAAATATTTTTATTTATCAATTTTTTAAATTTTATTTATTAATATATATTTTTTTAATTTTTAACCCACATTTTTTTATACATATTTTTTTTTTGTTTCATAAATCCCACTTTTAGTTTTTTTATTTTAAATCTTAATATCCACTAATTTAAAAAAAAATACTTTTTAAATACTTACATATTTAAAAAGTATTTTTTTTTTTTTTGTTTTAAAAATTCCACTTTTAGTTTTTTTTTATTTCAATTTTTAAAATCTGCTAATTTAAAAAAAGAATAAAAAAACTTTTTTAAATACTTACATATTTAAAAAGTATTTTTTTTTTTTGAGTTTTGCCTTGTTATTTTCCAAAAATTCCCCTTTTACGAAAGTAATTTCTTAAATCTCCAAATTTGATAATAGTAATAAATTAATTTTTTCCACTTAAAATTATATATTTGTGTTTAATATATTTAAAATTTATATTTTTCAATTTTGTCCCTAAACCCCTTTTTTAAACTTCCTCCTCCTCCCCATCCTCCTCCCAGTTGGTAAATATTGACCTTCAAGATTTATTCAAAATATGTTGTGCCTCAAATTATGACTTGATTTTATTTCGTATGTAGAACGTTTTGGTAGTAGAATTGTTGTTGTTGGTGTTCCCCCTTTTCTCAGCTGCCCAATGCTGTTGTTTTTTTTTTTTTTTTCCACCCATGCCGATTCTAAGTACAATGACAATTCCCCAAACAAACGATCCGGGCAGGAGAATGTTTTGCCGGAGCAAGAGAGACTTTGAATAAAACAATAGCCGCACAACTGACTGACTGAATGCTAATGGCAATGGCAACAACAACAGCATTCGCACGACACACAATTGATGGCGACACAACAACAAGACAACAACAACAAAAAAAATTGACAATAAAACAATAAAAAACGTATGAACGAAAATTAAAATCCAAAAAACAAACGAGACTTTATAAAACGAAATAAAAAAACAACAACATCAACAGCAAATTCGAGTAACACACATGGACATGATTTGGCAAACACACACACACACATTCTCTCCCCATGGAGCCTCAGTTGTGGCAACAACAAAAAAAATTTCCGTAAATTCAAAAACACACTCATGGTGAGTCTATGGCATTAGAGAGGAGTTTGTCTGCAGTGGACACACATGTGGCCATGTGGGGTATGGTGCAGTGTGTGTGTGTGGGGGGAGGGGGAGTTCGTGTGTGTTCATACTCTTTCTCTCTGAGAGGCCGCCTCTCTCACATTGAGGGGCTAAAGATTTCTCGAGGAAAACACACCAAAGGAAGTCAATTGGGATATGGGATTTCTAGACAAATTTACCTCCCCCCCAACCCCCTCTCACTCTTGGTCTTTACTCCCTAAATATCTCTATTTTGTTTGGGTGACAGATCATAAAATTCCAAAATTACCTTGTCGTAATTTTCTTCTAGGATTTTTGGCACCTTAAAACGTAGGTGTCACCTCTCCCTCAATTAACCTCAAAAAGTGGACAAATTCTATCCTCAAATTAATTGCAGTTTTTGGAAAACTGCATTCGTCGCGGTCGTTTTAGGTGACAACACCCTTTTTTTTTCTCGGACCCTAAAACAAAGACAGAAAACAGATTCACTTCTTAATTTGTCCTGGTCCAGAGGAGTCTTGCCGAATAGGAAGGAGGAGATTAGCGCGGCAATGGTTTTATGACTTTGGTAATTAAAAAGCAATTAAGGTCTCAAAACAAAGACAAAAAAGAGAGAGAGAGAGAGGGAGAGAGCAAGACTCTCAATTCCAGGGAACTCAACAGGCAACATGCCAATAAAACACCTTACATTTCACAGAGAGAGAGAGAGAGTCACACAGTGAGAGCACAGAGGGATTTAAGAGGGCCATTGTTTTGTCACCAAAATTATTGTTCCTCCTACCTACCTGCTCCTCGGTACTTGATTTTTATGACCCATTTAAGACTAGCTGAACTCCCCCGGTTAGCTGGAAAACGAAAGTAATTGAATTTTATGTGGGTCATTAAAGCAAGATCGGACATGATAGACAATGATCATAAAATGTATCTCCCTTGGCAAATTTGTGCAATGCAAAAATTTTGCAGATCATTTTCGAAATTCATCCAAATTTTTATTTTTCGCCACGAAAATGCAACGCCAACAACTTTTAACCTCCTGCCTTTTGCAAACCTCTTCCTCCCGGCAGAGTTGAGTGGCGATTTTTTTTTCTGGCCATTACAACATAATAAATTCTGTTGAACTTTTAAAACTTGTCTGAACATGACTCACCGCATAATTTTTCTCCCATCCATTCTCCATCCACCCCCACCTTCCCCCTCCCCCTTTGGCAGACATCGCTGACTGGGCTTGAAAAAATTTAACAACTCAAAAAGAAAACCAAAAACAAAAATTAGTCATCAGCATATTTTGACTTTTTGTAGTTGTTGTTGTTGCTTTTGTTGGAGCACGTGGCTAGCCCAAAGTCGTGGCTTTGCCTGGGATAATCAAACCTGGGAGCTGGCTTAAATATGGCAAACAAAAGCAAAATGAATCAACAAATTTTAATTCAGAGAGAGATGAGGAGGGAGTCAGAGAGAGAGAGAGAGAGAGGGAGAGAGAGAGAACATCAGTTTTCTCTACAGAAAAACCCCTATTCAGCCCTGGGTGAATAGTAGATTTCCCAAAGAAACCCCCCCTTTTAAGCCCTGGGCTTAATAGCAGATTTTCCAAAGGAAACCCCCATATTCAGCCCTAGGCCGAGTAGCAGTTGTCCTAATAAAAAACCCCTGTTCAGCCCTGGGCCGAATAGCAGTTGTCCTAACGGAAAACTCCTTTTCAGCCCTGGGCCGAATAGCAGTTGTCCTAACGAAAAACCCCTATTCAGCCCTGGACTGAATAACAGTTGTCCTAATAAAAAAAAACCCTGTTCAGCCCTGGGCCGAATAGCAGTTGTCCTAACAAAAAAAAAACTATTTTTCTAAACCACCTGGCCTGAGTATCAGTTTTCCTAAAGAAAATCCCTATTCAGCCTTGGTTCGATTAACAGTTTTCCTAACAGAAACCCCCCTATTTAGAACTGGGCTGAATATCAGTTGCCCTAAAGAAAAACCACTATTCAGCAATGGCAGTTTACCCTAACAGAAAACCCCTATTCAGCCCTGGGCCGAGCAGCAGTTGCCCTAACGAAAAACCCCTATTCAGTCCTGGGCTGAATAGCAGTTTTCCTAAGAGAAAACCCCCTACTCAGTCCTGGGCTGGAAAACAGTTTTCCTAACAGCCAGGCTAAATGGCAGTTTTCCTAACAGAAAACCCCTATTCAGCCCTGGGTCGATTAGCAGTTTTCCTAACGAAAAACCCTGGTCTGGAAAACCCCCTATTCAGCCGGACTGAATAGTTGTTTTCCTTAAAACTCCCGGCTCAGCTATTTTTTCCCTCTCTTTGTTTAAAATTTAATTATCATCTCTTTAATATTCCTTCATTCTCTTTCCTCCCTCCCCTCCCACACTTGGTGTTGTCCAAACATTTTTTGAATCAAATTTTAATAACTAAAATTCTGGCTGGCAAAAAAAAATATTTAATTACTAAAAAGCAACAACAACAACAACGACGAATAATGAATTGTTGAACAAAAGAGAATGATGAAGACGAAACATCGAACGAAGCAAACGAAGGTGCTGGGCAATGTATGGCAATGCGCGAGTTACTAAGTGCCATCACAAAATTCTCTGCTTCTGCTGTTAAGTAATTCCTATTACCCCCCCCCAAAACCTTTGTTCTTGTTGTTGGCATTGAGTGAATTACGGTTACAACTGTGGTGAGAGGAAGAGTTGATATTTTAAATTTGATTTTATTCTCCTTTTTTTTATAGATTTTACTTAATTTTTATGTACTACTAATGATTACGAACAACAACAACATCAACGATGATGATGATGCCTCGATTTTGTTGTTGTTGTTTGTTATTACTTTCCATTCCTTCTTGTTTCCTTGTTCGTTTATTCACACGCCACACTGCTGGCTTTGTTGAGTGATATTCTAATGCTCTCTTCCTCCCATTAGGTGTACGGCGTTCTCTCTCTCTCCTTTGGTTATTTTTTTTGTTTGGGAGAGCGTAGATTTCAGTTATTGAGCATCACTCGGTTATCGCTGTGTGAGAGTCGTTGTGTTTGTGTGGCTGTTGTTTACTTTTTGTTTTTGTGTCTTCTATTCGTTTCTGTTTGCATGGCGGTGGCATCGGCTTTGGCTTCTCATCATGGTTTCTTTCGTTGCTTTGTTGTGACCACATAGAAGAGTATTGGCGCGCATCGTGTTTTGCACATCGTCGTCTGCTGCTGGCATCGACAACGAACGAACAACATCATTGGCATCATTATTATTTTCTGCGTCGTTGTAGAGGCTGGCGTCGCAGTCGACGTCAAACACGACTACTTCTTTTTTTTTGCCATATGAACGGCTTGCTCGTTCTTGTGTGCATTATTCGTTGGTTTTTCTGTGTGTGTGTGTGTATAAGTGTTGGTGGTGAGTGCAGTGTTTGTTGTTCTTCTGTGTGTGTGTCTGTGTTTTGTAATTTGGTTGGTTGGCCGGTCATTTGAACAGGACATACGATTTAGAATTAGACAGCGCGTGTTACAGAGCGGTTGGCATTTTGGTGACGAAGCTTTAAAGCGCCCTCACTTCTTTTTTACAACTTTTTTTAGTTTTTTCCTTTAAAAAACAAACAAAAACTACTTTCGGCATAACATTTTTGGCTCAGAAAAACAAAAAAGAAAACTAAAAACAAAACACCCCAAATATTTTGGACAAATCACAAAACGAAAAAAAAAATTAAAAATTTTTAATTTCCAAAAAACAAAACAAATAATTTTAAGTTCAAATTTTATGTTCAAAAGAAAACAAAAAGTGCAAACAAAATTGTCAAAATTCAAAATTCGTTACAATTTTAAGTTACTTTCATTTATCCCAAAAAATATTTTGAGTTCAATTTTTATTTTAACAAAAAACCCCACCAACAAATTAAAACAAATAAAACGCGCGTTTTAAACAAAAATAAAGAAACAAGTGCAAATAATTGAAAAAAATGTGGTTCCAATTCAAATAAATGGTAATTAAAAAAATAAAACAAAAAATTAAATATGGATAAAGAACCAAAGAATGAAAAAAAAATTGCAAACAAATGAAGAACAAACAAAGTGAAAAGCAAAGAGAAAAAGATCACCAAACGATCAAATCGAAAAGACAAAACAAATAAAAACAACTGTTTTTTAGTTTTTTTTTGGTACCTACACTGAACAAAAAAATTAAGAATAAAAAGTGATTGAAAAGTGAAAAATAAAAAAATAAAACAATTGAACACCAAAAAAAAAAAAAAAAAAAAACACTGGATATTTGGAAAGAAATTTTAATAAAAAAATTAAAAAACAATGGTTATTCGAAAGAGGATTTGAAGGATTTGTATAAAATGGATTATTGTTGATATAATTTAATTAAATATATTTAAAAATTTTGAGCATTTATTTAATATTTTTTTCGTTGAAAAATTATATGATATTTAATTATAGGGAAAAATAAAAATTTAGAAAAATTAAATAATAAACATTAGAAAGGTATTGAAAATTATGGCCTTGGAAAAAATTCTTTAAAATTCGAGGTTTAATGACTTCGAAAAAAAAAAATCTAATTTTTTTGAATTTATGGTCTATTGAGAATATTATTGTTTAACAAAAATATAATTAATATAGAATTCATGTTTAAAAAAATATTAAAAATTTACAGGTCTTTGGCTAAATGTTTTAAAGAAAACTTTGATTCAAAAGATCTGATTTCTGTTAAAAATTAAAAAAAATCCAAGTGATTGGAATAATTAAAAAAAACTTCAGTTCTAACGGCTTTTGGTTCAAAAAATAACAAAAAATAAGGGGAAAAAAATTGTTAAATTGAAAAAAAAAATAATAAAATAGAGGTCCTTGAAATCAATATTTAAAAAAATATAAGAGAATCTTTAAAAAATTTGTAAAATCTCTGTTTCAATGAATCAGAATTCAAATTTCGTTTGGAAGAATTCTTAAAAAAAAATCCAAGTTATACCAAAAAACTAAATATAAAAAAAAATATATATAGATTTAACTCAAAAAAAAAAAAAAAGAAATAAATAAATAAATTAAATTAAAAAAAAAAAAATTCAAAAATTTGATTCTTAAAAACTATACAAAATATTTTGGTTTTAATGGCTTTGGCAAATGAATTAGCATAATTTTCAGCATTTAAGATCCGTTGGGTAAAATATTATTGATTTTTTTTTTTTTTTTTATAAAAATTTCAAAGCTTTCAGTCATTGGAAAAAATATTCCATATTTTTTAAAAGTAATTTAGGGGTACTTGATAAAATATTTAAAATTAAAATATCAGAGAATCTTGGAAAGAAATATTTTGAAAACATTAACAATTCACCTTTTTTAATGATTTTGAACAAACATTTTTCAAATAAAAAAAAAATAATAATAATAATAGTAATTAATAAAATTCGATAATTTGATCCTTGGAGAGTTTTTGATCAACATCAAAAAAAGAATCCAGGAATTTCATCCTAGGACAAAATTTATTTTAGAATTTAAAATCCTTTGGAACAAATATTTGAATTTTTTTTGAAAAGTTGGTCCTTAGAAAAAACATAAAAAACAGGGTATATATATAAAAACATCAAATAATTTAGAGGTCCTTGATCACAATATTTTAAAGGATCAGAATTTAAAATCCTTTGCAACAAATATTTGAATTTTTTTTTTTTGAAAAGTTGGTCCTTAGAAAAACATAAAAAACAGGGTATATATAAAAAAAAACAAAAAATTTAGAGGTCCCTGTTCACAATACTTTAAAAGGGTCCTTGGAAAAAAAAATTAAAAAAAATTTCTTAGTTTGAGGTCTTGATATTTTTGAGCCCACGATCCTTTGGATTTTTTCTTTTTTATTAAAAAACAGATTCAGATCTTCAATACTTTGGAAAAATTCTCAAAAAATATGTTTCAAAACTTGTCAGAGTTTCAGGTTTTCGGAAAGCAATTGTTAAGGGCCCTTAGAAAACATATTTTAACAGATATTTGGGGTTTAAGATTCCAAGAATAGGTCCTACGTCTCGAAGGACCAATGTATGATTTGTACCATGGATAATTGTTGTTTTTCCTGCAGAAATATCATTCCGTTGGCAAAGTCAGATTTTATCTTCGACTTAATCTTGATTTAAGCTTTTTTACATTCTGATGTCAGAAAAGAGGAAAAATTTTAGCTTTGGCTGATGGATGGAATTGAAAAGAGGATCTTATTCAGTACCTAACTGAACAGCTAACATAGCCATATGACTTATTGCCATTTATCGGCGAATTCAAAATTGATTTAAAAAAATGGCGAACTTTGGGAAAAAAATCTCTCAAGAATTCAGGGCGAATAATAGCTGGCCTCTCCACTAAAGAAAGTATGGATGTTTCTGGAGTAACCGCTGGAATATGTAGGAATAATCTTTTAGGCGAAGCTATAGAGGAAGAAGATGTTTCTACCGGAATCGAAAATTTCGACTGTCTTCCGATCGCAATTTAATATCGAGTTTCAAATTTGGCACCTATGGAGTTTATCTTCTTGCGTTTTACGTTTTGAGAAAGTCCTCGAATAACCTTTAGGCGTCGCTATTGTTGAAGACCCACAAATTTCACATTGGAAAATTTAACTCATTTTTCAATTGCAATGAAAATTCTGAAATAAGTTTGGAGATTAAAATCTCTCTTATATAAAATGAAGGATTTCCTGAAATAGCCAGAAAACCTACATGTTTTCCTGAAAGCTTTAGTTTAACGAATTTTTTCGCCTCTTTTTTAAAATATTTGCATATTTATCCCTTATATCCAGATCTTTTATAACTTTGAGAAGGTTCCAAAAAAAAAAAAAAAAAAAAAAAAAACAGTCGAAGGGCAAAAAAAAAGAAAGTTGCCAATCCCTTATTTTTTTATTTTTGTGAGTCCCATAAAACTGCAGAAAACCCAAATCAAATTCAATAGTTCTGGATATTTCACAAATCAAAACAATATTTGCGTACATAAATTTTCCATCAAACCTACTGGAAAATTAAAAATAAGTTTTCTCCTCCAAAATTTAGGCTAAGCGCTTTTTAGTTTGGGTGATACAAAATCTAAATCATATTTCAGAAATAAATATTTGCATGTATCCATTTCTTACATCTTTTGAATCTTTGAGAAAATTTTGGAGCCTCGTAAGGCAACAATTTTGAAATCGAAGGACCAAAAAACAAAAACAAACCCCTTCAATATTTTTCGAATATTCACACTCCTTAAATCTTTGAAAAGATTTTGAAACTATTCGAAGGACCCACAAAAACTATTCAAGGAAGATTTTAAAACCTAGAACTCAAAGCACCATAAAAATACTTTGAAAAAAAAGCTAAATACAAAAGCATATTTAAAAAAAATATATATATATATGTATTTGCTGGCATTTAAAGATTCTAAAAAATTGCAATAATGGAAAACCAGGAAAATTCAAATCCAAACTTTTCAAACCTTAAAAAAAAAGATAACAACAGCAAAGGACCATAAAAAGTCTTTTTTAAGAAAAAGAAGCAAAATACGAAACCATATTTAAAAAAATATAATTATTGATATTAAAAAATTCCAAAAAAAAAACAATAATATTCTCAACTCGAAGGGCCAAAAAAATTATAATAATTTTTCTGGTCAACCGAGAAAATCCCAAATCTCAATTTTTGAATCCGAAAATCTTATTCAAAAAAAATATTTACAATTATTCAAAAATTCTAAAAAATTCTTTTTATCGAAGGACCAAAAACAGATTTATTTTTATTTTTAACACACTTTAACGAAAAAAAAAATGATAACAGCGCAAAGGACTAAAAAATATTTAAAAAATAAAATCCAAAACCATATTTAAAAAAAAATATATATATATAAAATATCTTTAACTCGAAGGACCAAAAAAGAATTTATAACAAATATTCTGATGAACCAAGAAAATCCAAATTCAAATTTTTGGACTCTCAAACCGTATTAAAAAATATTTACAATTATTTAAGGATTAAAAAAAAATAAAAATATTTTAATCGAAGGACCAAAAAAAAAAAAACAAATTTATTTAAATATTTACAAACTTTAATAAAAAACATAAATAAATAAAAACCCAAAGGACCAAAGAATAACCAAATTTAAAAAAGTATCTCTGTTCTAGTATTTTAAGATTCTAAGAAACAAAATATCTCATACTCGAAGGACCAAAAAAAAAACAGATAAATTTTTTGGGCATCAGGAAATTTAAATTCTATTCTCGAAGGACCAAAAAACAAGCAGATTTATTTGTATATTCAAAAAAAAAAAAAAAAAACCAAAAAAAGCCATAGAAAATCCAAAACCATATTTAAAAAAATATATTTAAAAATTCTTTAAAAAAAAATAAATATCTTTAATTCAGTATTTAAAAGAAAAATAAATGATAAAATTTTTTAGGCATCAGGAAATTTAAATTATATTCTCGAAAGATAAAAGACAAGCAGATTCATTTATATATTCAAAAAAAAAAAATAAATAAATAAATAATAAATAAATAAAGACCAAAAAAAAAAAAAAAAAGAAATGATAAATTTTTTTGGGCATCAGGAAATTTAAATCCTATTCTCTAAGGACCAAAAAAAAAACAAGCAGATTCATTTATATATTCAAAAAAAAAAAAAAAAAAAAAAATAATAATAATAATAATAATAATAATAATAATAATAATAATAATAATAATAATAATAAATAAATAACAACCCAAAGGACCAAAAAAAGCCATAAAAATCCAAAACCATATTTAAAAAAATTATATGTTTAATAATATTTAAACAATCTATAAAAAATATAAATATCTTCAATTTAGTATTTAATGATTCTAAAAAACAAAATATCTCATACTCGGACGAAAAAAAAAAAATAAATAAAATTTCTCTTAATCGTAAGACAAAAAATAAAATTTCTCTTAATCGAAAGACCAAAAAAAAAAAACAAATTTATTTAAATGTTCACAAATTTTTATAAAAAAAAAAAAAAATAAATAAATAAGAACCCCAAGGACCAAGAAAAGAACCATATTTAAAAAAATATATCTCTTTTCTAGTATTTAAAGTTTCTAAGAAAGAAAATATCTCACACTCGAAGGACCAAAAAAAAAAAAGAAAAATAAATGATAATTTTTTTTTGGCATCAGGAAATTTAAAAAAAAAAAACAAGCAGAAAAAAAATAATTGTTAGCAAACATTAATAAAAAAAAATAAATAAAAACCCAAAGGACCAAAGAATAACCAAATTTAAAAAACAGATCTCTTTTCTGGTATTTAAAGTTTCTAAAAAACAAAATATCTCATACTCAAAGGACCAAAAAAAAATTGTAAAAGTTTTTTTTGGAACCTGGAAATTTTATAATCAATTTTTGAAGGACCAAAAAACAAGCAGATTCGTTTGTATTTTCACAAACTTTAACCAAAAAAATATAACAACCCAAAACCATATTTAAAAAATACTAATTTTTATTAGTGTTTTTAAAAATTCTAAAAAAAACTAAAATATCTTAAGCTCAAAGGACCAAAAAGAATTTATGAAATTTTTTTTGGGGAGCCTAGAAAATCCAATCCATATTTTTGGATTCTTAAACCTTACTAAAGAAATATTTACAATTATTTAAAGATTATAAAAAAAATCTTTTAATCGAAGGACTAAGAAAATATCCATATTTAAAAAAAATATCTCATTTCTAGTATTTAAAGTTTCTAAGAAAGAAAATATCTAATACTCGAGGGACCAAAAAAAAAAATTGTAAAAGTTTTTTTTGGGGAACCTGGAAATTCATATTCAATTTTCGAAGGACCAAAAAAACAAGCAGATTCATTGCAATTTTTTTGGAAACCTGGAAATTCATATTTAATTTCGAAGGACCAAAAAACAAGCAGATTCATTTATATTTTCACAAACTTTAACCAGAAAAAGTAAAAACCCAGAGGACCAAAAAAAGCCATTAAAAATCCAAAACCATAATTAAAAAAAACATATTTTTTACTAGCATTTAAAAAATCTATTAAAAAAATAAATATCTTCAATTCAGTATTTAAAGATTCTAAAAAAACAAAATATCTCATAGTCGAAAGACAAAAAAAAAATGATAAATTTTTTGGGTATTAGGAAATTTAAATTTTATTCTCGAAGGACCAAAAAAAAAAAAAAAACAAGCAGATTCATTTATATATTCAAAAAAAAAAAAAAAAATAAATAAAATAAAATAAATAAATAACAACCCAAAGGACCTTTTTGGCCTTTGGCCTTTTTTGGCCATTAAAAAATCCATAACTATATTTTAAAAATATATATTTTTACTAGTATTTAAGAATCTATATAAAAATAAATATCCTCAATTCAGTATTTAAAGATTCTAAAAAACAAAATATCTCATAAAAAATCCAAAACCGTATTTAAAAAATATATATTTTAACTATTATTTAAAAATTCTGAAAAAAAATAAAAAGTCTTAAACTCGAAGGACCAAAAAATATTTTTAAAAAATTCAAATCCACATTTTGGGAGCCTCAAACCTGATTAATTAAATATTTATAATTATTTAAAAATTCTAAAAAAAATAAATAAAATATCGTCAACCCGAAGGACCAAAAACATTTTTTTAAAAAATATTTTTTTTTTTCAAATCCACATTTTTGAACCTTCAAACCCTATTAAAGAAATATTTACAATTATTTAAGAATTCTACAAAATCCTTAATTCGAAGGACAAAAAAAAAATTTATAATTATTTAAAAATTCTAAAAAAATAAAAAATCTTTAACTCGAAGTACCAAAAAAAAAAATTATAAAAAATTCGAATCCACATTTTTGGAGCCTCAAACCTTATTAAAAAAAAATTTTACAATTATTTAAAGATGCTGAAAAAAAATAAAATATCTTCAACTCGAAGGACCAAAAAAAAAAAAATACAAATCTATTCAAAATCCTTTGCCTGGTGAATCATACAAATCTTCCAAACATCCAGCCAACCTATCAAACAAACCATTCCAAATAACTTCCAAAAAAAAAAAACCATCTTCAATACCAACAAAATTTCAAAAAAAAAAAAATATTGACATCTAAAACCAGTTTTCTTTATTCATATCGTCATTTTTTTCTTCTTCTTCTACCTTTAGATACAACCGTAACTTAAAGAAAGAAACGAGAACAGAAGCAGCAACAGCAGAAATCTTCCCCAAATTCAAGAAAAGTGAAACAATCAAAAACAGAACCTCCTAACAGAGAACAAGAAAGACAAAGCAGAACGAAAAGAAAAAAAAACCTCCAGCATTTTAGCCTTGCGATCATATCCTGATCGCTGTTCGGGTTTTCAGAGCGTGCACGCTGCACACACAGAGCTAAATATCCAGCAAGGAAAAGAGAGAGATTTTTGTGGACGATTTGCTTTTTCGCCTGTTTGTGTGTGTGTGCGAACTGTTCCTTATGTTCTCACAGCCATCCGCCGTGGTGTCACATTTAATGCCCCTGCCAGTGTGTGCTGTTGTTTAAGCAACTCAACACCCAACATTCCGTAACGAATGTAGCAATCAATGGCTACTTTGGCCACTGAAATGCCGCCGTTACATACGGCGGAATCTTTGGCCGGTATCCAAACGCCGGCCAATTCCTCACAACCGCCGCCCTCGAACATGGGCGGCCTAAACAATGCGGGTGGAAGCAGTGAATCCAATGGCCTCATTGATTCCTCACAAAACTCCAATTCCCAGGCAGAGGCCATGGATGCCGGGGGCAACAATAGCTCGGGCGCCAATTCCACTGGTGTTGCCAGCTCTACCACAACGACCCAACAATCATCGACGACAAATGGCAATACCAGCAATACCATATCAGCGGCCGCTGATTCTAGTGATAATCAACCAGCCACGCCCCAGCCTCATCATCATCACCAGCAGCAGCAGCACCAGCAGCACCATCAACACAATGGCAGTGATAGCCAGCACTCCAACTCCTCCGGAACTCATATGCAGAGTCAAAGTGGTGGCATGGGACCCAATTCCCATCATCCCTATGCCAATCATCACATGTATGCCGGGGCCCAACAGCCCAGCACCACCTCGGCTGGCTCGGGCCATAATCTGCAGCAGCAGATGTATCCAGGTTCCCATCAGAATATTTATGGCTCCGCCAACATGGATATGTCACAGCAACAGCCACAGTCTCAGCCCCAAACTCCCACTCAACATTCCGGTTATCCCTCCTACCTCAACAGCTATGAACAGTTCTATCAGCAACAGCAGCAACATGCCGCCGCCACTGCTGCAGCAGCCCAGCAAAGCGGCTCCATGGATTATATGAATGGCAATTCCCAGAACTCCAATATGTATCCTGCCACCGATTACAGCAAACAGCAGCCGGCCGGAGTACGCTATCATCCCTATCTGCACACACCCACCTCAGGGCTGTCCTCGAGCTCCAATTCTGCTAATGGAGCTGTACCACCACCGGCTTCCTCAAATTCCTCAAATAATGCGCTGGACGCGGTCAATTCCCATGCGGCACCCGTGGTCTCCTCGGCCAGTTCAAGTGTCATGAGTCCGCGTGTTGTCAGCTCCACAAGTCCCTCATCGTCCAGCAATCAAATGCAAATGAGCGGCAGTGCCAGCAGCATTGGCAGCATGTCTGCCGGCAATCCCAGTTCGCCGGCCGGTGGGGTGCCGCAGTGTAAGAAATGCGGCATAATGTGTACCAATGACAATGAGCTGCAGGAGCACATTGCCAATGTGCATGGGGCCTCGCCCTATGCCAGCAGTGGTTATGCCAGTTCGCCCTACATCAAGGAGGAGCTGCAGTCCCAGCAAACACCTCCCTCACAGCATCAGCAGCAGCATCAACATCCCTCTCAGCAGCAGCAGCAATCAGGTGGTGGGAATCCTGGTGAAATCCTGGATTTGGATAGCCAAAAGATGTTATATCCTCCACCTGGTGGCCAGGGTCTCATGCCCGGCGGCGGTGGCATGATGCATCATCATGGCTCCAGCACAGATCCCCTACAATCCATGCACAGCATGCAACAGCGGGCCGGCATGGCCACATGGGACCAACAATCCACCGAAGGTCTTCCGCCCTATCTCCAGCAAAACTCCAATGATGGCAGTGGCAAGAGCATGCCCAGCCACTCACCCTACTATCCCACGTCCAAGGACTCACCCTATCATGTGAGCAACAGTTCAAATGTCATTAAATCGGAATATCCGATGATAAAAAATGAATATCCCGGCGATAACCAGTACATGGCTGGCGATAAGTCCTTTGATCCCACGGCTCCGACGGCCGGGCAACATATGATGCCGCCGGCTGTGTCATCTAGCCCAGCGGAGTTTCCCTCAACGACAACGGATGGCGGAGGCCAGGCGACGGGAAATCAACCATTTCGTAGCGGCAATTTTGAGCCACCCACTTCTAGTTCGGCGCTTAGCACGAATTTGGGTACCAAGGCGGCCAACTGGAAATCGAATGAGGCTCGAAGGCCCAAGACCTATAATTGTACGGCCTGTAACAAATGGTTCACCAGTTCAGGGCACCTGAAACGCCATTACAATACCACGCTGCACAAAAATGCCGTGAAATCCAGTGGCCAACCTGATCCGGCCACCTTGCCCATTTCGGCCCATCATCATCCGGCCAGGGAGGGTACCTCCAAACCAAGTCGGCGGGGTGGAGCAGCAGCTGCGGCGGCCGCAGCAGCCGCCGCCGCCAATGCTGCCGCCCTACAGCAACAGCCGCCGAATCCTGTTATACCTCCCGAACCGCCCAACAGTCCGCATGACTATGGCGGGCCCCAGACGGCAGCTGGTGGCCTGGCGCCCATGTCCCACTATGCTGCCACACCCTCGCCCAACAGCATGTATCAGCAGCAACAGCAGCAGTATCCGTACATGCCGCAGGTACAATCCACGACAAACGCTTCACCACAGCATGCTTCCCAAATGGCTGGCGCCCAACAGCAGTCCGGCCCACATCAAACGCAAACCACCGTTATGAACGGTCACCCAAACGCGTTAGCAGGCCCCTCCGTCCCAACGACAACCCAACAACAAATGCCGTCCTCCCAAATGAGGGGCCTGCTGAACAACAACAACAACACAACCACAACAACAATGCTTATCACAAAGAACGAGCACATGGAGGCGGCAACGGCAGACCCGGATCAACAGGATCCGGATCTGGAAGACGAGGAGGAGGAGGAGGAGGATCTGGCGGAGGCCGGGGAGGAGGAGGAGGAGCTGGAGGAGGCAGTGGGCATACTCACGGAACCTCAAACGGCGGCTCACACCCCGAATCATCAGCAGCAGCAGCAGGAGGTCTATGTGAAACAGGAGGACTTGGAGGAAGTGCAGCAGGCACACCACCACATGCCACAGTCACAGCATCACTTGCACTATCAGCTGGACCAGCAGCAGCACCAGGCCTCGCCGGACATGGAGCGTCTCTATCACAACACCACGCCCAGCAGCACCCACAGCAACATGCAAGTCCACTCGCCCCTTATTATCTCCCACCAGCAATACCGGGAGCAACTGGAGCTGGAGCAGCAGCAGCAAATGGCGCCGGCGGCCACCTATACCCTCACGCCAACCCCTCCGCCGCTGCTTCATCCCCATACAATGGATCAGCTACAGCCGCAGCAGCCCTACATCAGCATGCCGCCTTTGGCTATCAACACGCAGCAGCAGCCCAGCAGTATGCTGCAGCTGCCGCCGCAGCACATCACCATGGGGCAGCCGGATACTACCACCATCCCCACCAGTATGGCCAATATGCTGCTGCAGGCGCCCAGCCACCACATGCCGCAGCAGTCGCTTACGGAGCTGCAGCCGCTAGCCAATACTCCGCAGCAGTTGCAGCAGCTGGACACAATCAGTACCAATACCCACCAGCAGCACATCACCACCACCAACAGCATCACCAGCATGCCATCGTACCACCAGCTGCAGCAGCAGCAGCAGGGCTCGGTACTGCAGCCGCTGGACCACACGCTGACCTATCATCACACTATTATTGGTAATGGTGGCAGTAATGGTGGTGGGGCCCAACTGCCCTCCATTGGTAGTTTGGCCAATGCGGAGATTTATACCCTGGATGCCTATGGGAATTTGGTGCCCACCTCCACCACGGCGGGTGGGCATCAGCATCAGCAGCTGATACAAATGGAGGATGGTCAAATTGTGCAATTGATACCGGCCGCAACGGGTGGAGGGGCGACAACTCTGTATTCGCAGGCCAGCTATAATCCCTACATGGCCCAGAGGTCACCCCATGAAGGTGATCTGCCACCCATGACCTATCAATACAAACAAGAGCCCAGTACAACTGTGACCGTGGTGCCCTCTTCCATGGCCTATTCGCCATCACTGACACCCTCATCCACCAGCAATTCCATGGATCAGAAGCCCTATAAATATTCCGATGATTATCTCAACAACAATTATGGCAGTGGCGAGCAGCAGCTGCAGGAGTTCCGCAGCGCAACGCCTCCCCAAACCAAACTCCCCGAAGACATGGAGGAGGAGGAGGAAAACAAGGTGGAGAGCAAAAAACCACCACCCGCCATTGTACCGGCCACCAAACGCAAACGCAATCCCAGCAGCTCGAGCAGTGTGGGCGCCCCGCCTGTCACCGTACTGCCCAGTGGACGCATCAAATGCATACCCTGTGACAAGGAGTTCACGAAAATCTGTTACCTGACGCAGCACAACAAGAGTTTCCATTCCGGTGAGTATCCGTTTCGTTGTCAGAAGTGCGGTAAACGCTATCAAACCGAAGAGGTCTACATTACCCATTTGGGTAAGCACAAGACCACGGACAAGGCGCACAAGTGTGACATGTGTCCGAAGCAATTCCATCACAAGACCGATTTGCGGCGGCACATTGAGGCCATCCATACGGGCAATAAGCAGCACACCTGTGAGATTTGTGAAAAGGGTTTCTGTCGCAAGGATCATTTGCGTAAGCACATGGAGACGCACAGTAGGCCAAGGGTGGCCACCAAGAAGTCGAGGGTCGCCGGTGGGCGGGGTATAACTGCTTTTCTCAAGGCGGAAAAGAAATCCGCCAAAGAAACGCCAAATTTGGTTTTGGAAAATCCCCAGGCCTCGGCCTCAAATAGTTCATATTCCTCGGCCACACCACCACCGCCGCCCTCACAAGCCACCATGGCCACCACCATGTCGGGCCAATTGCTACAAACTATCTATGAAAATTCCGCCTCACCCTCGCCAATGCAACAGGCAATGCCACAGCGTCAGCTGCAAACCGCCACCCCGCAATCGACGGCCATGCAACCTTTGGATGATGTTGCTGCTGATGATGAGGATTTGTTGGATGAAGAAGAGCTAGATGACTATGATCCGAATGATATGGATGAGGAGGAGTACATTAGCATAGAATCCTATGAGAAACAGATTCAGCAGCAACAACAACAAAGGCAACAAATGCAACAGCAGCAGCAACAACAACAGCAATTTAATGCGGGTGGTGGCGGTGGCGGTGCTGGTGCTGGGGCCACAGAGTTCTCTTTAATGCTCAAACAGGAGCAACAACAGCATCACCAGCAACATCTGCTGCAACATGGCGACAGTAGTAGCCAGCCACAGTCCTATCAGATAATTGAACAAGAAATTCCTATTTATTAATTCAGGGTTGTCCAGGTCTAAGGCGATTGATCCAAGGATTTTTGAGAGATGAGAGACAAGGGAATTTTTTTTTTTGGAAACATTTTTTTTAAATGGATTTTTAAAAACAGAAGTTAAATCTGGAAGATGATAAGAGAAAGAGAGAGAGAGGGAGAAAGAGAGCAGAGTTTCGATATCTCCATTTACGTAACTAGGCCTTTTTTAAATCCGTGAAAGCTGCGAGAGAACTGCGATTTCTTCCTGAAATACTTAAGAGAGAATGAGAGATTCTGGATTTGAAATCAGAGAGGGAGAGAGAGCAGAGTTTTGATATCACCATTTTCGTAAATACGTCTTTTTTTATCCAGAGAAGAGCGATTTCTCCCTGAAATATTTAAGACAGAATGAGAGATTCTGAATTTTAAATCAGAGAGAGGGAGAGAGAGCAGAGTTTCGATATCACCATTTTCGTAAATTCGTCTTTTTTTACTTCCGAGGAAGACGCGAGAGAATGCGATTTCTCCCTGAAATACTTAAGAGATTTGTTGTCACAATGAATGGGAGATTTTGCTGAGGGAAAATTTTGAAGTCTCTGAAAGGAGAGACTTTTTCATAAAGTACTTCTTAAAAGAGATTCCAGAAAATTTCTTAAGGGAATCGAGGGAAATTGAAAATCCTGGGACAGCAGATTCTTTATCACCATTTTCGTAAATATATTTTTATTTTCAAACGAGGGAAGCCTCAAAAGAAAGGCGGGATGTATTGCTCCTCCCATATTGAGTAAATGCAGCGAAGAGAATCTTAAAGTCCTAGAAAGCTTAAATTTCGATTTCTTTAAGTGGCGCCCAACGTAACTTTTTTTTACTTCCCTTGCCTCCCCTCTATTACCAAATATGGAAAATTTTTCAGGATCAGAGTTTCGATATCACCATTTTCGTAAATATGTCTTTTTTTAAATCCAGAGAAGCCGCGAGAGAAATACGATTTCTCTCTGAAATACTCAAGAGATTTGTTGGCACAATGAATGAGAGATTTTACTGAGAGAAAATGTTGAAGTGCCAGCAGGGAGAGACTTTTTCCATAAATTACATCTCAAGAGAGATTCTAGAAAATTTCTTGAGAAAATCGAGGGAAATGGAAAATTCTGGGACAGCAGATTCTTTATCACCATTTTCGTAAATATATTTTTATTTTCAAACGAGGGAAGCCTTAAGAGAAAGGCGGGATATATTGATGCTCCTCCCATATCGAGTAAATGCAGCGAAGAGAATCTTAAAGTCCTGGGAAACTTGAATTTGGATTTCTTTAAGTGGCGCCCAACGTAACAATTTTTTTACTTCCCTTGCCTCTATTACCAAATATGGAAATATTTCAGGAGCAGAGTTTCAAAGCCTCAAGAGAAATGCGGGATTTATCGCCGCTCCCATATCGAGTAAATGCAGCGAAGAGCATCTCAAAGTCCTGGGAAGCTTGAATTTCGATTTTTTTTAAGTGGCGCCCAACGTGACTGTTTTTTTACTCCCCTTGATATATGGAAATGGAAATTTTTTAGAGCAGAGTTTCGATACCTCATGAGAATGGCGGGATTTATTTCTCCTCCCATATCGAGTAAATGCAGCGAAGAGAATCTTAAAGTCCTTGGAAGCCAGATTTTTGATTGCCCTTTGCATTTTTTAAAGTGGCGCCCAACGTGACTCTTTTACTTCACTGTCCTATAAATCCAAATATGAAAATTTTTTTAGGAGCAGAGTTTCGATTGTTACCATTTTCATAAATACATATTTTTTTTACTTCCGAGGAAGCCGTGCAAGAAATGCCTCACCATAGCGACGGGATTTAGACGCTTCCCTCTATAAATGCAGCGAAGAAAATCTAAAAGTCCGGGGAAGCCAGATTTTGGCTTTACCTTTGTTTTTTTTCTTAAGTGGCGCCCAATGTGACTCTCTTTTTTTTACTCCCCGTGGCTCTATAACCAAATTTGGAAAATGTTCATGAGGAATTAAAGAAGTATTGGCTTTGTTTTAGATTTTGTAGACATAAAAAGGTTTTAGACATTTTAACCCCTGAAGTTTTGAATTTTTGCTTGTGGCGCCCAATACGACTCGTTTTTGACTCCCGTCCATATTTTGGAAATTTTCATGAGAAATTAAAGAAGTATTGGCTTTGTTTTATTTTTGTAAGAGAAAAGGGTGATTTCAGACATTTAACCCCCAAAATTGTGCAGTTTTGCAATTGGCGCCCAACGTGGATCATTTTCCCCAAAAAGGTGATTTTATATATTTTAAGCCCTAAAAATGAGAATTTTCTTCATAGCCATACTGTGGAGTTTTAATTGAAAGCAAAGAGTTTTGTTGGTGAAACAATCAAGGCTAGAGAAAATTTGCAGCTTCCTCATTCCGCCTTTGAATAGTTGTTAGACTGATGAAATTTTTCCCAATTTTCATTTTCAAAAATTGATTTTTTTGTATTTGAATGCCCTGCTCTGGTCATTGCAAACAGGACAATTTTAAATACAAAAAAAAAAACTTAATATACCTCCTTTTTCTTAAACTCTGACCAGATAATTTGAAAAAAAAAATTGATTGCAAAAAATGTGAGCCAAAAATGTTATGCCTTTACAGTATTCATATCAAAAAATTTTCTTAGTTTCAAAAAATTTTCTTAGTTTAATGACAAAATCCAGGAATACAGGTAGCATGGAGATTTTCGCCAATGTACATAAATACAAAAAGAGAGAAAAAAGTTCAGAGTTTAAAAATTGAAGCGTCTTTTCGTGGAAGTCGAAGGACCATTTACTACTTCACTGTCTCTGAACGAAGTGTTTGAGCATTTAGCACTTTTTTCAAGTCGAAGGACCATTTATCGTTTTTGGGGTTTATTCAAGAAATTCCGTTTGAATTTCCCAAAGGTTATAAGGATTTTTAATAAATACCTTATTTCTCTCTCGATAGTTCCTCAGAAGTGAAATTAAGGACCATTTACTATTTCACTCTCTCTGAGCGAAGTGTTTGAGCATTTAGCATTTTTTTTTTCAAGTCGAAGGACCATTTATCAAATTTTCAGCTTTTTTCCGGCAAAAGAAGATTTCGGGTTTATTTAAAAAATTCCGTCTAATTCCGTCCGTGATTTAGTGCTCAATTTGAATGGAAATTTGGAAATTTTCCTAAACTAAAGAATGGTTCCATTTTTGCTCTTCTTGTCTGGGGCAACAAACCTAGTTTGGTCTTTACACCTTGGGATTTTCAAAGTGGTGCCCAACGTGCCTCCACTTGTCCATACCATCAAATATGACCAATTTTTTTGGAATTAAAAGAGACATTGTTCTGTTTAACTTTTTCTAGGTAACCGAAGAAGGAATTCATTGGAAATTTTAATGAATTCCACGTTGGGCGCCATTTGTAATCTTTGGGATTGAGGTCTCTCACTACTTGGTTAGAATATGGTTTTTGAGGTTACTTTTCTTGACTTGGGCTACACGCCTAGTTTGATCTTTATAACGTGGAATCTTCAAAGTGGCGCCCAACGTTGCTCCATTTGTCCATACCATCAAATATGACCAATTTTTTTTGGAATTAAAAGAGACATTGTTCTGTTTAACTTTTTTAAGTAACTGAAGGCAGAATTCATTAGAAAATTTTAATGAAGGTGGCGCCCAACGTGGGATGGATGCCATTTGTAATTTTTTGAGATTGGGGTTTAATTTACTTGGTTAGAAAATGGTTTCTGAGTTAAAGAATGACTACGTTTTTGCTTTTCTTGTCTTCTAGGGCTACAGTCCTAGTTTGGTCTTTATAGCGTGGGATTTTCAAAATGGCGACCAACGTGTCTCCAATTGTCCATACCATCAAATATGACCAATTTTCATGGAATTAAAAGGGACATTGTTCTGTTTAACTTTTTTAAGTAACTGAAGGCAGAATTCATTAGAAAATTTTAATGAAGGTGGCGCCCAACGTGGGATGGGTGCCATTTGTAATTTTTTGAGATTGGAGTTTAATTTACTTGGTTAGAAAATGGTTTCTGAGTTAAAGAATGGCTACATTTTTGCTCTTCTTGTCTTCTAGGGCTACAGTCCTACTTTGGCCTTTACACCTAGGGATTTTCAAAGTGGCGCCCAACGTGTCTCTAATTGTCCATATCATCGTATTTCACCAATTTTCTTGGAAATAAAATAGGCCTTGATTTGTTTAACTTTTTTTAAGTAACCGAAGGAGGAAATCATTGGAAATATTCAATGAAATGTTGAAGTGGCGCCCAACGTGGCTGTAATAGTTTACATCATCATATTTGCTTATTTTCAATGGAAATAAAAACAGAATTGTTTTTTTTTTTGAGTCACCAAAGGAAAAATAATAATAGAAAATTTTGAAGAAGGCCCCACGTTGGGCGCCATTTTTTTATGATTTGACTTAGTATTTGATTTAATTAACATTATATTGCTTTTCTTCACCTCCAGTACTCTCCTGATTAATTTGGGAGAGGCAAATGGTAAAAGAGAAAATGCTCTTCCTTCTCTCTCTTTCTCTCTCATAGTTTTAGAACATATATATTTTTATAGTAATGGGCCCACATTGGGCGCCATTTTTAATTGTCTGATTAGGTGTTTTCTTTAATTGCATAGAAATGGAATTCGAAGATAAAAAATTGCCATAATTTTGCTATTCTTGACTTCCTTCACTCTCTTGATTAATTTGGAAGAGGCAAATGGTATATTCTTATTTCCTCTCTCTCTCAATCTTGATCTCTCTCATAATTATAGAACTTAGATTTCTCTGAGCAAAACATTTAAAGACGGTGTGTGGAAACAAAATATATTTTTTGTTTTTGAAATTGGCCCCACGTTGGGCGCCATATTTAATTGTGTTTTGAATTTAATTGGTTTAAATAGGGATTGGAGATTAAAAAACTGGATATATTTTTGTTGCTCGGCATTTTAAGTATTTTCCTATTTTTTTTAATTGTGAGAGGGAACTTTTCTCTCTCACTCACTCTCTTTGAAATTTGGTTTTCCCTCAGCAAAACTTTCATGGATTGACAAGAGTTGTGAAAATAACTTTAATAAAACACTTACTCTCTTCCGATATCTCTCACTCCCTCCTTCTCTCTTTCTCTTAAAAATATGTTAAGCTCTTTTCAAGCATTTTAAATTTGAAAAATAACTACATTTCATGTGTCTCTCATCTCTCCAAAACCTTATTCTCTTGTAAAAAAAATATGTTGAAATACCTTGATTACAAAACCCTCAATTTTGTAATTCTCAATGACAATGCGTTCAAATGCCATTAATTTTTAAAACAAACATAAGCTCAAAGATTTATTTTTTTTCCGGACAACAAAAAACGAAAAAAAAACGAAAAGAAAGACAACTAAATAGTGATACCAAATCATTTTTTTATATAAATATAAAAATAAATACAGAACAATATCAGGGATTATTAGTGTTAATAATTTTAGTATTTTTTTTTTAATTTTAATTTTATAATTTTTATAAATTGTATTATTTTTTTATAATTTAAGAAAACAAAAAAAACTATGATTTTTGCTTGCCTCATGATTTAAAATTTTCTTAGTGTCATATTTAAAAAAAAAAACAAAACAAAACAACAATTATACTCATATTTTTTATTATTATTATTTTGTAATAATGTATTATTTTTTATTATTTTACAAATAAGCAATAAAAACACAATTGTTATTATTTTTTAATTTAATTAAAACCCAAAGCAAACAAAGAAAAAACACAAAACTTCCCTCAAAAAAATTCCATTAGTTTTAATTGAATATAAATTTTTTTTAAATTCCCAAAAAAAATCTCCTCCACTTCCCCACCTCAAAACAAAAAAAACTAAAAAATACTCCATGTCTTACCTCATTTACAAAAAAAAAAAAAAAAAAAACAAAAAAGAGTATAATTTTTAAAAATTTGTTGTTAGTATTATTTAAAATAAAATAAAAAAACCCCCTCCCCCCACCTCCTTTCCATACTTAATTTTATATTATTATTTTTTTATGATTTTTAACATGTATAAAATTAAGAAAAAATAAAAGTTCTATGAACTTTAATTTATGATTTGATTCTAGAAAATAAATTGTGTACGTTTATTTTTTTTTTTTCCTTTAAAAAAAATATGAAAAATTAGAATTTTTTGTGTATAAAAAAATTAATGTTTATTTAATTATTATATTTTTTGATTTTTATTATTTTTTGTGTATTATTTAAGCCTTTTTTAAGTGTCTTATAAATATGTTTTTTTATTTTATTTTAGTTTATTAATTTTTTTCCTGTGTACCCACCCCCCATTAGAGTAAACGTGCCAATTTATGTTTTTTGGAAGAAAAAAATCGTAACAAAATACCTCAACGAAAAAAAAAATTGAAAAAAATAAATTATTATTTTGTTTTAAAACAAGAAATTGTAAAATTGTTTTGTGTGTTTTATTTATTTATTTTTAGTTGGATTTATATTTTTGGTTTTTATTTTTGGTTTTAGAATTTTTCTGAAAAACAAAAAAAAATGTTTTGGTTACACTTTTAAATCCTTGGATAACTCTGACATACCTGAAGCTATAGCCAGTCTATGCCGACTACCTTACAATGTTATGTGTTCCTCTTCCAAGTTAAATGTATTTTAGAATAATACGTCCTTTACTTTAGAAGTTGTGGACCCTGGAATACGATTAATCAAAAAAAGTTAGAAATTTGCAAACTTGGGTATTCGTTGAATTTTGCCCATATCTCTGGTATATGTGAGGCAACATCCAGACTATTTATAACGGATTTAAAGAGACGATGTTTCTCTTTTCAATTAATTTTATTTTTTTTCCAAAATACGCCCATTAAATTAGAAGTTATGGACCCTAAAACACGATTGCTCAAAAAAATTCAGAAATTTGCATACTTGGGTATTCGTTTAATTTTGCCGATATCTATGACATATGGTGGGCTATATTCAGACTATTAATATGAGATTTCAAGAGACGATCTTCCTCTTTCCTTGTAATTTTATTTCATCAAAATACGTCAATTATTTTAGAAGATATGGACCCTAGAACACGATTACTCAAAAAAGTTTAGAAATTATCAAACTTGGGTATTCGTATAATTTTACCGATATCTCTGGTATACACGAGACCACATCAAGACTTTTCAACTCAGATTTCAAGAGACGATGTTCCTCTTTCCAAATCATTTTATTTCACCAAAATACTCAAATTACTCTAGAAGTTATGGACCCTAGAACCCGATTACTCAAAAAAGGTTAGAAATTATCAAACTTGGGTATTCGTATCATTTTGACGATATGTATGGCATATGCGAGGCTACATCCAGACAATTTATAGCAGATTTCAAGAGTCAATATTCTTCTTTCCAATTAATTTTATTTCACTAAAATATCCCAATTACTGTGGAAGTTATGACCCCTAAAACACAATTACTCAAAAAAAGTCAGAAATTTGCAAACTTGAGTACACGTTTAATTTTGCCGATATCTCTGGTATATAAAAGGTCACACTCAGACTATTAATAGCAGATTTCAAGAGACGGTGTTTCTCTTTTTAATTTATTTTATTTCACCAAATTACGCCAATTACTGTAGAAGTTATGGTCGCTTGAAAACGGTTGCTCAAAAAAATTCAGATATTTGCAAACTTGGGTATTCGTTTAATTTTGCCCATATCTCTGGTATATACGAAGCCACATCCAGACATTTAAACTCATCTTGTAAGAGAAGATGTTCCTTTTTCTAATTAATGTCATTTCACCAAAATACTCCAATTACTCTAGAAGTTATGGACCCTAAAACACGATTGCTCAAAAAAATTCAGAAATTTGCATACTTGGGTATTCGTTTGATTTTGCCGATATCTCTGGTATATACGATGCCACGTCCAGACAATTTACAGAAGATTTCAAGAGACGATGCTCCTCTTTCCAATAAATTTTATTTGACCAACATACGTCAAATACTTTAGGAGTTATGGACCCTAAAAAACGATTGCTCGAAAAAAATCAGAAATTTTGCAAACTTGGGTATTTGTTTAATTTTACCGATAGCTCTGGTATATACGTAGCTACATCAATTCTTTTCAACTTGGATTTCAAGATACGGTGTTCCTCTTTCCAGTTAATTTTATTTCACCAAAATACACGAATTATTTCAGAAGTTATGGCCACTAGAAAATTATTGCACAAAAAAGTCAGAAACTGGCATACTTGGGTATTCCTTTAATTTTGCCGATATCTCTGGTATGTGTGAGACTAGATCCAGACTATTTATAGAAGATTTCGAGAGACGATGTTCCTCCGTCCAATAAATTTTATTTCACTAAAATATACGAATTACTCTAGAAGTTATGGACCCTAGAAAGCGATTACTCAAAAGAAATTCCGAAATTTGTAAACTTGGGTATTCGTTTAATTTTGCCGATATCTCTGGTATATGCGAGGCTACATCCAGACTATTTATAGCTGGTTTCAAGAGTCGATATTTGTCTTTCCAAATAATTTTATTTCACCCAAATACACCAATTACTCTAGAAGTTATGGACCCTAGAACACGATTGCACAAAAAAATTCCGAAATTCGCATACTTGGGTATTTGTAAAATTTTGAAAATATCTCTGGTATAAACAAGGCTACATCCAGACGTTTGAACTCAGCTTTCAAGAGACGATGTTTCTCTTCCTAAATAATTAAATTTCACTAAAATACGCCACTTACTATAGAAGTTATGGACCCTAGAACATGACTACCCGAAAAAAATAAAAAATCGGCAAACTTAGTTATTCGTTTAATTTAGCCAATATCTTTGTCATATGGGGGTCTACATCCAGACTATTTCTCTTATCTCTGGTATATACGATGCCACGTCCAGACAATTTACAGAAGATTTCAAGAGTCAATGTTCCTCTTTCCAATTAATTTTATTTCACCAAAATACGCCAATTATTTTAGAAGATATGGACCCTGGAACACGATTACTCAAAAAAAGTTAGAAATTTTGCAAACTTGGGTATTCGTTTAATTTTGCCCATATCTCTGGTATATGTGAAGCTACATGCAGGCCATTGATGGCAACTTTCATTCGTAGACCTTCCACTTTCAGAATCAAGTTATTTCATTAAAATACGCCAATTACTTTCAAAGTTGTGGGGTATGGACAAGGACTGGAAAAAAAAATTACAAATTCATAGATTTCTGCGCACATATAATATTGCCCATATCTAAGGCATTTATTGATTTACCTCCAGAGTATTCATAGCAGATTTTAAAATATGAAATTCCTTTTTTAAAATCAAGCTATTTTATTAAAGTAGGCCCACAATTTTAGCAGCTATGGTCCCTGGAAAGTAATTACCCAAAAAAATTTAATGTTTATAAATTTCAGCACACGTTTCATTTTGCCCATATCTAAGGCATTTATTGAGCTACCTCCGGAGTATTCATGGCAGATTTTAAGATAAGATATTCCTCTTTCCAAATCAAGTTATTTCATCAAAATTCGAAAGTTAGTTTGGAGGTTGTGGTGGCTTGAAAAATATTGCGCAAAAACAATTACACATTTGCAAGAGTGGGTATTTGTGTAATTTCGGCGATATCTCGGGCATGTGTGAAGCTACATCCAAAGTATTTATATAAACTTTGAATAGTCGATGTTCCTCTTTTGAAATTATATTATTTTATTAAAATCTGCTTATTATTTTAAATGTTATGCTCCCTGAAAAATGATTGCCAAAAATCGCAAAGAAATTTATTATGTTCAGCACCTGCAGAATTTTACCGATATCTCCGGCATGTGTGAAGCTATATCAAGACTTTTTCCAGGAGCTTCTAAGAACAGATATACCTCTTCTAAAGTCAAGTGACTTCATTAATATCTCTAATACCTTTGAAGTTATGGTCTCTAGAAATGATTGCTCAAAAATACTTTTACATTTTCAAGTTTTGGTACTTGTGTAATTTAACCGATATCACGGGCATATGTGAAGCTACATCCAGCGTATTCATATGAACTTTGAAGTCTCGATGTTCCTCTTTTACAATTATATTATTTCATTTAAGTAGGTCAATTATTTTAGCAGCTGCGGGACTTTGAATTTGATACCGGGAAAATTTTCCAAATTTATAAATTTTTACGCACATTTAATTTTGCATATATCTCAGTTATTTGTTGAGGTACCTCCAGACCATTCATAGCATATTTTAAAATAAGATATTCCTCTTTCCAAATCAAGTTATTTCATGAAAATACTCCAATTAGTTCAGAAGTTTTGGTAATTTGAAAATGCGTGCGCAAAAAACTTAGAAATTCTCAAGTTTGGGTACTTGTGTAATTTTGGTGATATCTCTGGAGTTTGTGAAGCTACATTCAGACCATCCATAGCAGATTATAAGTGTACTTCTTACTCTTTCTGAATTATGTTGTTTCATTAAAATCCGTCAAATATTTTAGAAGTTATGATCCTTGAAATAGCCTTACGAAAACATTATGAAAATTGGCTCGTTTTCGGTACATGCATTTGCTGGGCCATAACTTTGGAATTTTATTAGATTTGGGCCTATAACTTTTACCTTACATAGCTGCCGGATTGCTTTCTGAAATGTTAAGTTACTTGAATGA